ATAGCGGTACAGCTGTAATTTCTTTGAGGGGGTACTGATTGTTAATTAATCTTTTCGTTAGTGCCGCCAATTAGAACCTAAGAAATTTGATTTGGAAAAATCAAAAATCCACATTCATATTTGTAACACTTTCATCATTAATTTGTTACGCAGCTGATTAAGGGTCTGGCTGACATTTGATGGACTAATCATAGTTTAAACCAGCTAGCTCTGAACCGCTCGCCCTGAGTGTATCGAACGCTATGTTATCAACGCGTTATCATTCGAACGGAAGAAACTAGTCTTTTTTCATACAAGCATAAAAACAAAAGCAGCGAAAATATTTTCATCAGGTACTTATAAAAAAACAAAAAAACAAAAAATTAAAAACAAGAGACTATTATCATTTAGATAGCCAATAAGTGCTAAATGTGAAGTGAAATATCATTATCTATTTTTGTTATTGCATTTTTGTGATACCGTTAAAAAAAAAGTGTTTAACACTCTTCGCGCATTTCATTCAAAATATGACAAATGAGTGGATAGATTGGACGGATTGCCGTTTGCGTGCGCCTATACGTGCCGGCTATAATCATCATCAATCGCTGCTCAATAATAATTACACTGGATTTTCGAATAAATTCCATTTGCGAGCGCATAAATTGCAGCAATTGCATACCGCCGGAGCGAAGTTAAAAGGTGATTTTAATATCCACATTCTTACTTATGAACAAATGACAATAGGGGTATTCACGATCCGGTGCATACTGCCTTGCATGGTGCATAGATAACATAAATAGCACGATTGTTGTTGTTTCATGTGTTCAAATAACAACAAAATTAGCCAATCATGCTATTTATGCTATCTATGCACCATGCTAGACAGTATGCACCGGATCGTGAATACCCCTAGTGTAATACGATACCTACCTATACACAAATATATATGTATGTATATATGTAAATACATCGTTGTAAAAGTATGTAATTTTCTATTTAGTAGCGATTAGCCGTTTGTGGTAGCAGTAATTTGATCTTAAACCTAATTGGTGTGACGCGCTAATCATTTCAATAAACGCTTTAATAAACACTATGCTGTTTGCGCTGTAGATAATATACATACAAACATATGTACATATATATATATATACATATGTATATATATGTACGGCTATGTAATCAAAAAATAATTGAAATATCAATATAAAATTACCAACTTGGTAAATTTACAAGTAATTTCTAAGCGCCGAACAGGGCCGACTTCAATTCTCATATATAAATTTAAGATTATCGTTCATTTCTTCATGATCCAATAATAGGATTTAAACCCGAATAGTATGGTACCACCAGTGAGGTAACACCTTTCCTCTAAAAAAAGAATTAAAGAAATCGGTTAACGTGGTCTAAAGTTATGCCTTAATATATATAAAAAAAAAATATTCTAACGAATTGATAACCTTCTCCTTTTTGTAAAGCCGGTTAAAAAATAAAGATATTGTAAATAAATTAAAGTTTTTACAGTGTTGCCTCATACGTGCTATTGCACAGAGACTGAAAATAACTTTTATTGTAAATTTCAAGCACTTAGAAGTCAAAATTTTCGCAGAAGACAATTGTTGATGCCCTTGTCTTCCTCTTGATCTTGTCTACAAGAATCAAGAGTAATTTTTTTTACAACTTTTTTGAAAAAAGTACAATTTCAACTGTTAAAGACTGACTTAAATTTTCAAGCTAAACCAAGCCAAATATTTTTTTTACTAAAATAAAAGGCTTTGTGAAATAACAAGTAAAAAATTTAAATTAAAAAAATCGAGGGCGCAGTTTTCGTATGATAAGTGCAGAATGGGAGTGGTTGAGAACTCGCTTTGATTTATAACCGACTTCAGAAAAATGAGGAGGTTATCAATTCGTCGGCATACTTTTTTTATGTATATTACCGCATAACTTTGGACCATGGTGGTCCTATACTAATTTAGATCGGATCCGATCATTGGATCATAGAGAAATTAACGATGCTCTTAAATTTTTATATGAGAACCAAATGAAGTATGTTTTTTTTTTGCTTAAAAATTATTAGTAATAAATTTTTCGCAGATGGTTCTACGTAAAATCTTTAATTTTAAGTATGTCCGATAGCTGATTGTAAGTAACTAGTTTTTGATTCACTTGCTAATTCAGAACTATCCAATGCCGAACAAACTACACTCCGCGTCGCTTGAAGAGGCACACACTTTTTCCTCAGATCTGAGCTTATATCTGGATTTTTTCGGCATCGGAGACATTTCTTTTTGATCTCATATTGAAGAATGATCAATTTTACAGAAAAGTAGTGAAAATGGAGACAACACCTATATTACTTAGGATTTTATTCCAAGTTTTATCGAACTACATGCAAATTATGCCTATTATTTTGATTCATTTGAATAGGCACAGTGATCTTAACACAACGAAAGGACTTGATTTAACCAACAAAAGCATGCCATTAATTTTAATTCTAGTGTATAACACTTTTAGTATTGGATACTACATCCTTAATTCCAATGTATGGAGAAACTCCTATCCGGAAGGCGATTCTAGAGGCGCTTTGAAAAATCAAGGACATCTCGCTGCTTACCACTTAAATCGGCGGAAAGCACAACTGCCAATCATCACATGGATTGTCTGACATCCAAACTTTGCAAAAAATCCAATTCTCAAATGATTTCTATTAAGTTTAGGTCCTGTGAATAGGGCAAACTGTGAGGGAATTACAACTTTGGTTCGTTATCCTCGTTTTTACTGCTCCTGTAGTACGAATCGTTGCGTAATTTTGCTAGCATATTCAAGAACAAGGTGCAAAAATATACGAAATGTAAAAAAATGCCCTTAATACTTTTTTGCATGAATTATTAGTAATTTTGGAAACTTGAAATATTATCTACAAAATCGCAGTTCAGATCGCCACACTCTCTTCTTGATCATGGTGGGGGGGGACAAAAAACGTTCGTCCTTTCAAAAATCGTGACAATTATTATTAAATCCGTTGTAGCCATCAAAATTACACTTTTCGCCAGTGAAAACTACAATTTTCTAGTTGTTATCTCAGGCATGAGAGTTTTACAAACATATCACCTGCCAAGTCCTGGATCCATGAAGCTCTCCATTTATGCATTTTTTGCAGTTGAAAGTGCGCCTGCTTCGCCCATTCTTGCTGTGTTATAGGTCTAATTATCCTTAAATTCTTAAAAAGGTTTTAAGTGCAGTTTTAATAACTCTGCTATACACATACACCCAGCCTTGTACCTATTAAAGTAAATCAAAATAATAGCCATAACTTTCGTGTAGTTTGATAAAAAGTGGAATGAAATCAACGTAGTAAGGGTGTATTCTTCATTTTCACCACTTTTCTTCGAATTGAATCATTCTTCAAAACGAGATCAAAAAGAAACTTCGCTGATGTCCACAAGTCCCGATATAAGCTTAAGCCCCAATTGGATCTTGAGGAAAATATGTGTACCTGTTGAAGTGAAGCGGGGTGTATGTACATTAGGGGATCCCCCTAGGGTTGTTCTATATCGAAAAAATTAGGCCCCTATTTTTATTTGGAAATCAAAAAATATTTAGAGGTCGCTCAAAGCGTTCAAAGGTTTCAATGTATTTTGTATGGGAAAAAACAACTTTTTGTAGACATTGTATAGAATTCTTGAAAATCAATATTTTTTTGTCAGTAAAATCCGGTTCTGACTTCCAATAACAATACCCAATTAATTATTTAAAAATTTTTTAATACTAAAGATTTTTGTTATCCAGTGGGGGATAACATTGGATTTTCCGGGAGTTTTGGCGGACCTATAAAATATAGGTACTATGAAAAAATTGTTAAATTATTAATTGGTTATTATTTATTGGGTATCTCCAGAAGAGAAACAGAGTTTTCCGATCGAAGAATATTGATTTTTAAGAATTCTATAGAAATTCTACGAAAAGTATATAAAAGCATGGGAAACTTTGTGCGCTTTGAGCGACCTCTACATATGTTTTGATTCCCAAATAAAAAATAGTAGTATATTTTTTTTTTAAGAACAATCCTAGGGGGTGAGACTTTACTTTTTCACGTGCACTTTTGAACCACCCTAATGTACATTTGTAGTTTTGAATTCTAGCAGTTAATAGCAATCGGTTGATGACAGTTATTAAAAGCATAGAATGAATAGGTCCTTTCTATGTAAAACTGTTGAAAAAGTATACCTGGAAAGCAAAAAATTTAGTTTTACATACTTTTTTTTGTTTAAGCGCTTTATATAGAAAAATATAAAATTTTAAATCAGTCTTATTTTAGGCTCTTAGAAAGATTTTAGATTTTTATTTTTGAGTTTAATTGAGCTCTATCTCAATAGAAGTTCGATTTCTGAAGTGATCGTATTCCTAAAGAAAAAATAAAAATAAATTCTTTCAAACCCGAAGTTAATAAAAAAATTATATTATTTGTTTTTCAAGGACACTAAAATAAGCGACTCGTGAGATTTGCTCATATTTTTTACTCTTGAAAAGTGAACATAATGACACCAAAAACGAAGGTACAATAAAAACTCTATACTTAATAATTTAAAAAGTTACTGCATGAGCTGGAAATTATAACTTTTTTATATGCTCCCATAGTAAAAATTAAAACACATTTTCTTCTAATGAGCTATTGTTAATCGATACCGCTATGAAATTTTTACACAACATAGAATAAGAGTTGCGTTAATTTCCGTTTAGCTACTTAACTAAAAAATATTTTTTTTTGGATTACGACACCCTTGTAGCAAATATGTTGTTGTTAACAAATTGTTGACTAAACGCAGTTAGGGTGGTATTCAAATTAGTTTAGAAGCCGAAGTTGTACCAAGCGACAAACGTTTGGAAGATTTTTACCACGCTATCCTGTCTTGTCCGTCAACAGGACGTTGTCCTTGTAAATAATAATATGTATTTAATATTTTAACACTGTTTTTGCTATGAAGTAACTGTTCTTTTTTTTTGGTAATTACTATTTTCAGATGTTCCAACACAAATTCCACCACTCACACCAGGTACAAATCGAAAGGTAGCCGAAGTGTTGAAAGCCTCTTTCGCTTCATGGGAGAAGGAGGTGCAGAACTGCAATATTACCAAAGGTGAGTTTAACTTAACTATGTGTAAGTAGCTTACCCGGCACGCTTCGGTACACCCTACAAATTTCAAGATGCATTTCTACACTCAGAAACAGAAAAATGTCAGCCAAATATATTTATCTCAACACGTGGGCCGATTCCGCTGAAACTTGACATGTGCTCTAATTTTTTTTATCAATAGGGTTTATATTATGAAATATGGTAAAGATGGGCTTATTGACAAGCCCACCACCCTTGTAGGCGGAAACATTGAGTTTCATGCGATTTCGATGGAATTTGCTATGTAGTGAGTAAATGATGTGAAATTTTGTATTTATGACTTTTAGCCCAACCGATGTTTTTATCAACTGTCGCCATGACTTTTTTCCGCCTGCTTGCATACATATAGTCGAAACACTGTTTGACGGAATGTAAATTTTATCGAACAAAATAAAGTTTGATTCCATAAAGTGGTTCCAAGAAAAATCTCCAAATAATAACTACTAAACGCTCCAGAAAGGTTCTGATAAACCATTAAAAATAAGCAATAAAAATAAATAACCAGGAAACAATCATTATACATATTGCTCTATAGACCAGAGGCTCCCAAAATTTGTTTTCTCGTATACCACTTTCAAAACTTTACTGGGTTTGGTGGACCCCTTGCTGCTACATTTCTACCATATTCCCAAAACTCGTCAACAAAGTTGAAGATTAGATCTAAGTATGGAAATTTGCATCGCGGCTCAGTCCCAACCCCAAAATCAGAGTAGTAAAAATAAAAATTGTATATTTTCTTTTTTATATTTACTAAAATAATATGACTACTGACTTGTAAGTTTTTTCAAGCAACATTCTCTGACCTTCTTAATCATAGTTCGTAGAGCCAGCGAGAGCGTATAGCTGTGAGGAGTTATTTATTTCTGATCACTTCAATTTCTTACAGTCATTACGTTATTTACATTATCTTCACCATAAACTCCTCACATGTTTGGCTCACTTACAAATTTGCACGAAAGTATGTATTTGTAAAAGAGTTTATTCGTATTAATAGCATCACTTTTATTTTCTCCGCGAGCGATGCGAAAAAAATTTATCCCTCACATTTTTAAAACACAAAACTTGAGACAACAAAACCGCAAAGCGTTTTACCTTTAATTCCGAAAATGCCAAAAGAGAAAAGACCGAATCTAGAATAATCTATGAGAAATAACCAAGCAATCGGCGAATCAAATTAAAGCATAAATAAATTGATTGCCTAATTTGCGCTCCCTTCTGCTTCAAAGAGTTTATCAAAGATTAAAACTACTGCGTAATGAAAGCTGCATGAGCAAAATGGAGTAACGAGGAGTAGTATTTTGAGTTGCATGGGAGCGTGAGGTAAATATTGAGGCTAAGAAACTGGCTTATTTTAACGATAAGCGCTCCTTTCTTTGTTAACCCACAAAAGAGGAAATCAAAATTGATTGCTCTTGAATTGAGTTGAAGTGAGGAGGAAGATGGAAATTTTATTCCTCAGTGAGGAATTTTTGCGAACTCTGTCCTAAAATGCACTTTTGAGGTTAAAAGAAATAAAGCAAAATAAGCAAGGTTTCTAATCCATATTCCGGTCTAACTGGAAAAAATTTGTTCAAGCCCGTTGCGAACTTGCAAATCTTCATTTTTTTCACGCGAAACGTAGACTACCGTCGAGTATCCGGTCTACCTCGACCACTTTGGGAATCACTGGTTTAGACTCTAAGCTCCAGGGCTAACCATATATATAAAAAAATATTTAAGTAATTTTTGGTTAGCTGGCATGCATGTGATCGACTCGATTTTTCCAATCCGGTTTCCACCGTATTTTCGATATCTATATGCGGTTTGTTTGAAAGGCTTTTTCCAGTTTAGGGGAACCTCTTAATAGTTTTAATATTACATAGGTACTAGGTAACCTAGGATAGGTAAATTGGAGGTGATCGGTATAACAAATTTGATTCCAATAAACTAATGTTTGGCTCCTAATCGTTTTGAACGTGTTTGGCCGAGTTTATCCTCCAATTCGGGTTCTGATTTTTGATGTTGTGACACAAATGGAGAGGTCTACACTTTTACCCGAGCTTCGAACGGACGGACAATCGCTATTTGAAAAATCTTTTTGATAGTGCTGGGACCAGAAATTCAACCATGGGCCTCCTGAGTGGAAGTATGCACATCCAAGCTTTCGACTACTGCGGCAGGAGCACTCTCAATTTCAAAGTCGTGAACCAGGATTTTCAAAGGGCAATTTTTCGAATAACTCGAAAACCAGTTTTGGAAAAAGGCGAATACACTGAGAAAAAATAAACCATTTCATATTTTTTCTAACTAAAACACATGATATTTGGCGCCTAACAATCTTTTGGAGATTTTTTCGTTTGAATACTTTTTTGCTCTGCACTTCACATATGCTTTTTTTTTATATGTAACTAGAAAAATCAAAAACTACAAGTTGGTCAGACGGCAATTGAATCTGCACACTCAGCTAAAGCAGAACATGTACTTACATGTATTATTCATTTTTAAGTTTTTTAAAAAAATACTTTTTCTGTTTAAAAATTTCAATTTCTAAAATGGAAAAACTGAAAATGACACTGTTTAAAAAAATCAATCAACTTTTTTCTTAGTATACCAGAACTTATTTAAACCCATTAACCTCAAGGGGATAGAAGTATACCACATTTTTTTATGGAAAGAACGAAAATACAAACACTGAAACAGGTTTAGCTAATTTCTCTATAATCTATATCTATATATATAATACGGGAAGGGATTCTTTGCAAAGGTCATCAGATCCGCACCGTGTATTCGATATTCAAAAACGAAATGAAAGGGCTTGGACTGTAGAGTTGCAGTAAGGCTCAAATTTTGAAAGGATAGGAAAAAAGTTAAATAAATTGTTACAATATGTTTATCAACCGAATTTATTTTGAAAAGGCTTTATTCCTTAACTACGTGTAGTACGGTTGCCACATGTTCAAAAACCTGAATCCAATTTTAATTAAAAGAATTAGGTAAGTGAATAAGGTATCACCATATGAGTATCAGAGAAGAGAGAAAGAGGTTTAAGAAAATAATAGTTTGAAATTATTTTGGTAAGGATTGCCACCTGTTTGAAAAGTTGAATTAAATTAATCTATGCCCAAGTTATATGAAATAATAAAAATGGTTGTAAAACGAAGGAGTTTTAAGAAATATTTACTTTGACAATTTACAATACTTTTGATGTGTCTGAGGGTTGCCATCAGTTTAAAAGGTTAAATTCAAATTATTGAATAAGTTAAATGAATTACAAAAAGATGGTTATCAATCGTAATGGGTTAAAAGCCCTATATTTCTGAACTATATTTACTAGGGTTTAAAAAATTTAATTCCACTTAATTTATCAGTTACTTGAAATATTTATAACAATGTCACACGAAAGATATTTAAAAAGATTTTAGTTCAAAAATTGTTTTGAAGAGGTTCCACCTGTTCTGAAAGTCCAATTTAGTTTAATTATATACAAATTATATGCAATTTTAAAATCTGGTTATGAAACAACAAGTGTTTAGAAATATTAGCTTGAAGGTTTAGAATTATTTTAGGGTTCCTGATGGCGGTTGCCACCTGTTGAAAAAATTAAATTCAAATGATTTAATGAGTTAAACGGATTGTCAAAATATGGGTATCAATCGAAATGAGTTTGAAAACAATTTCTTTCTGAACTGTATTTAGGAGAGTTCGCTCGTGTTAGAAAAATCAAATTCAACATAATTGATCAGTTAATTGAAACATATATCACAATGCCATAGGAAAAAGATCTAAGAAGATTTTAGTTGGAAAATATTTTTAAAGAAGGTTGCCACCTGTTTTAAAAGTCGAATTTGTTTTACTTATTCACAATGCAAATGTTAGTGTGAAACAAAAGAGTTTAAAGAAAACTTTAGTTTGATAATTGTACTTTTAATTGGGTTGCTACCTATTTTTTTGAGGTCATTAGATTTTCATACACCGTTATTTCGAATTTCCAAAATGTTAACTTAAATCAAAGAACTGGGATTGCATATAAATGTGCAATAACGTTTTATTTTTTGAAGCTAACACTTTTTAGCGGTATAGAGTGGTTAGAAATTATATGAAAAGAAAAACCGATACCATGCGAGACATCTCTCCACTCAGAAATGTGGCGGTTTGAATAGTGTTTCAAGCTGTTTAAAAAGTTAAACTCAATTTTGGCATTTTAACCACATGTGGGTTCACTAGTTTTTAATATCTTTTCCAAGGGAATGATTCGGTTTGCAAAGATATTATAAATGTGTGAACATTTTTCGGAATAAACTTGAAACCCTTACCATTTTGTTTTGCCTACTTCATTTTGATAGCATTTTTTTCACAATTTTATAAAAATACACGATTTCGTGAATTACCCGATCAGACCTATATGCTTATTATATCTAATATGACACTTAATTTAATTTGTTTGATGTTTAAATTTAAAAAATTTAATTTGTAACCAAAAAAAAAACGACCGAATAGTTCCCACCACGAGATGCTTAGGGCACTTAAAATGCTATAAACTTCTTTAGGATAATTTGAAATTTATAGTCGCAGTAGATAGTTATGTCCCGCCCCTCTCATGCTATCATTTATTTTTAATTGATATTGTCCTATTTCACACAATTATAATCACAACTAATTTTCACATAATATTTCTACCCGCAATTAACTCCCACA